TTTTTGTCATATCTGAACAAAAATGAAAATTATTTTATCATAAAATAGCCCAAAGTGTCTATAAAGTAAATACTTTATACTAAAGACGCTATTTACATTGGCCAGACTGTTATCCTCATCTTTGTTGTTATATTCACGACGTATCGGCCGTTGTACGTACCGGCCTTCTTCAGGTGATTGGAATTAATGATTAATGACTGTGTGTACGCCTTCTCATGCAGGTGTGGCAAGGAATATAAAGGACAAACAGGAGATCCCCGTAAGATAAGATTGCATGAACAACGTAACGCTGTAACAAGAGGGGAAATAGAAAAATCAGCTGTGGCTGACCATATATGGAAGGAAAAAGGAGATCACTGGAAAATACGAAAACTTAAGGAATCAGCACATATGCTAAACCGCAAAAATCTCCCAAACCGGCCAAGCATAGACATGGATACAATATGGGAACCAGTAATAGAGTTATAGAGAAAAGCAATAATAACAACGAATTGTAATATGAGCTTTGAAAAAAACATTAACTTTATAAGTCCAAAAAGCTCATGCACTGACGTCCTCACTATGTCCTCAAGGACACTTGGCCCAGTGGATAAAAGCGTTGGTTGATGTAATCCAATGACTTGACCTAAAGAGTTGTGAGTTCAATACCTGGAAACATCAGAGGTGAACAAAAACTTGGAGAGTTGGGTTACTAAAGGGAAGTAAACGAAACTGAGAAAATCCAAGGGAGGCATGGCACGGGGAACTAGAACTATCTATAAAGGGTTCGGCTCGAAATTCCAATCACCCGTGAAAGCCGGTTGTACAACGCCGTGAATATGACAAGAATGATGAGGACAAGTGTAAATAGTTACAATACCTCATTTCAGATTTTCTTAAAAAAAAAAGTTAGCTTCTAAATATGTGGCCTTAAAAACATGCTAATAAAAATAAATGCTTTCAATTTAAATCTCTCTCCAATACGTAAACTTGCGCAAAATAACGAATAACATAAAAATAATTTTAAATCGATGTCTCTACTTAACGTTGGGTTTTATCCTGGAGTTATCTGCCCCTTAATCTACCAACTTTTAACCTTTTACTTCATTGTGAAGCAGAAGATGTCGTCGAAGGTCGTTCGGCAATCTCGATTTTCATTTTACCGACACACAATAGAAGTTTTCATTTGAGTGGACATCTTTTTAAAGATCTACGATTCGAAAAGGTCACGAGTCAGCGTTATTGGCGATAACAACAATGTTTTCACCGCATCTGCATTTGGTGTCAACGCCCTTATACTATCAATCGCTCTCAGAGCAATTGTAACAGTTCTAGTATAACACACAAAGGTCAAAATGAACGGCTAAACATGTGCTTAGGTTCTTTTGTTGTGTTGAAGATCTTTAAAATATGTGACCAGTCAATCGAATAATATTGATTTTGCCTTTTCAAAACGATATTTTGAAATAAAGAATTTTTCTTTTGATGAAAGCTATATTTATCAGCTCATTACCAGCTGCAGAAATATAAAAGAGTTGACAGTTACCTGTCAAAGATTAGTGTGAATTTGTCAAAGACATCTTCGTCTTGTATTATCGGGTTCTGTATAAATCAAAGCTTATACGGTTTATGATACATGGAGAGCATTTGCCTGGAAGCGTGTAATAAGGCAATCACTTGGTTATTGTATTAGAATAAGATAAAGACAATTCATTTATCTCTTTATTTTTTTCACTATTTGTTGTAGTATACATATGGATGATAATGGGTATGTCCCCATTCACATGAAATACAGTAGTAATTACTGTATCTTGGTCTGCAGTTGGAGATTACTCTTTAGCTCTGCTGGTCAAACTCTCTGCCTCCGGGCAGAGAGGATCCCTAGACGAGGCTATATCGAAGGGCAGAGTCTCGCCTCGGGAAACAGCTATCCGATCCCGTTTTATATAGGGTCTACGGGGAGTTTTTGGTCGAGCCTACAGGCTCGGATACCCCACATTAAATTCGGCCTTGTGACCCATCTGACCGCGTGGAGCGGTTGGTAGATATCCTGCAGTTGGAGATTCGTCTCCAGCTGTGCTCGTCAAACTCTCTTCCTCCGGGCAGAAAGGATCCCCAGACCAGGCTATGTCGAAAGGCAGAGTCTCGTCTCGTCTCGGAAAACCGCTAACTGACCGCGTTTTATATGGGGTCTACGGGGAAATTTTGGCCGAACCTACGGGCTCGGATACCCAACAGTAAATGTTGGCTTTGTGCAACATCTGACCGCTTGGAGCGGTTGTAGATATCCTGTAGTTGGAGATTCATTGTGGAATTCACTTGACTCACTTCTAGCAGCTGACTACTTCTACGCGCTGCTGACGAATCTTATATGTGTTGTTCTTGTCCTAAGTATTATCGTTCATTACCAAACTTCGCTTGTATTCTATTCAGTAACCTTTCTTAGGTTACAACACTATTTTCCCCAGTACAAGGCTAAAGAGCCACTCAAGATAGAGAGTTACATAATGAGGTTGTAGTAAGGGCATAAAGAGAGGTATGTGAAATTTATAAAGACTTTTTCATCTTCTGTATTTGTTAGTGGGTTCTGTATAATTTAAAGCGGTACATGATGCCTGGAGAGCCACTGCCTTGAAGCGGCAGAATAAATTAAAGATGATTGGTTTATCTTTTACTTCATTTTTATCCAATGCAAAACGCAACATCCACTCAAGGTAGAGGGTTACTGAATGAGAGTTGAAAAGATTAAAATTTTGATGATATTAGAAGCATCCTCTTAGGAATTTCTTCCACAAAGAAGCAGTTCTTGGGAAAAAGTTGTCCAATGGAACTCCCTTCTATCCAATGAACGCAAAGGGAATGAGAAGGATTTGAACCTGTGAGCATAGCATAGCATAGCATGGCGAGTCTTAGATGTAAAGGTCTGAACTGGCGGAACGAAGGAAATAGTGAAATCCTAGTAGATTACAATGAAAATATTTATAGAAAAGGCACATGGACGCTAACTTATGGCGGTGGGAAAGTGACTGAAGATGTCAGGTCACGGACTATAACATTGCAGATTCTTCGTTTTATTTTATCAAGAATCTCTAAATACACAGTAGAAACACCAGATCAGAAGTGGAAGCAAAATTCAATGCACTTGTAGTGATAGCAACAAATGAATCACTAAATGAACCCAATCCTTATTACTAGACTAGTGGTCTGGAACCAAAATAATTAATAATAAAAGAAAAATTAAAAGTTAATAAAAATACCTTAAAATATAGATAAGAATAATAATTAACAATAAAGAAAGAAAAAGTTAGAAATAAAAAAATGGTGAAATAAATACAGTGGAACCTCGGTTCACGAATTTAATTCGTTCCTGAAGCCCGTTCGTAACCCGAAATGTTCGTAAACCGAAACTATTTTTCCAATAGGAATCGATGTAGAGAAAAAAATGTCACAGTACAATAAAATTAGAAAAGAAAACAACACCCGAATGTATACAACACGGCGATCGACTCAGAAATGATTCCGTTTGGGTTAACTCGGTTTGGCAATATTGTTCGAGAACCGAAATTTTGTTTGATAACTGAGGCATTTTCATCTCAAATTTTCTGTTCGAAAACCGATTTGTTTGATATGTGAGACATTCGAGAACAGAGGTTGCTCTGTATAGAATACTCCCATGATGCACCTGAAAAAGTGTCTTACCGCCAAAGAAACAAAAATTAAAATTTTCTTTCTCTTCATTTTTCGACGTCCGAATGAGGCAGACGTTGTGGACAAAATATGTTGTCACCAACAGATAAGCAAAACTTCCTATATTTCAATATACATATATGTTCTTTAAAATGTACATTCATTTCCCTGAAATGTATACTAAAATCATTTTATCGTGTCTATGCATATTTAGTTGTATCTCGTATATGAATTTGTTTGTGATTCTATGATCCCGTCGTGGGATGACCATGCCCTTTACCCGACCTTAGTCCCCAAAGATACATATATAAAAAAATTATTTCAGACAAGGCCAACGCATCACCACAACAGACTTATAAATGTGTAAGATAGATTCTGGGGAGAAAAATTGTCTAGCAAGACAGTGAACGAACTCTCCAATACTCAAGAAACGCAGTCATAATCTTGTCCAGCAAGCACACACGTGCAACTCAATTTTCTTGTAGATAAAAGTATATTATTAGCGTAGAGAATCATCTTTCAGCAACACTTTCTTCTCCTCACATAAATTTTTGGTTTTCAAAAGAGATTAGCATCATTCTTTCGTACAATCAAAGGTTGAAAAAGAACGTGATTTCGCGACATAATTCGAATTGTTTCGATAAGAATGAGAACGCAAGAGCGATGACGTCACTAACTCTTCCGGTAAAGAACGTACGGTGACTTCTTCTCACTGGGGAAATCATTTGATTGACCAAAGCAGACGATATGCAAGGTTACAGTGGATTGTCATGTGGATGGATGGATGTTTGTATGTTTTAATGCATTGTGGATAATATCGGGCCATAAGTAGAAAAAAGTGTAAAAATTCTTAATGGAAAACAACACACGCGTACACATTTGACGATACAGTCATAAATGTATCGAAATACAATGTGAGCATTTAACTTTCTTTCTCTCTCTTTCATCTCTCTCTCTCTCTCTCTCTCTCTCAGACACACACAGAGACACACACACACGTATATACACATTAATTTAAACAAGCCATAAAGATGACGAAATATTTAATTATTATCAGTAGAAAGTTTTCACATTGATTGATTTCTTTTTTACGGCTTATCAATCTTTTTAAGGTTATTGGTAGTTTTTGATTTTAAGAATTTTTTTGGAAATACTGATTTTCTGATGCAAGTCTTACTATTTAACCCATATCTGGGAGAAGAAGCGGTGGATTCATACCTTTACCAAGGATATTTGCACGTAAGTGAATATAACGAACACGAGTGGAATTCGAACTCAGCTCTCCGATTTCTCATTCCGAACCATTATCCATTACACCACCCGCACATCCAAGCTTTCAGCATCTGATATTTCCGAGTGGTCACCCATTCAGGTACTGACCAGTTCGACTTTGCTTAATTTCGCTGATCGGTCGAGAACCGGTGTTCGAACGTGATATGGCCGTAAGCGAAGGTTTCCACAAGTGAATCCTTAAATATATTTTCCAATCATTATTGCTGTAATTCGTTTTCTTTGTAAACCTCCTGGAAGAAGCAGCAACCGATGTCGCCATCCAATCAGAAGGAGCAACATTAGAAGCAGCCGCAGCAGCTTCAACAGTTGCAGTAACGAAAGGAACCGCAACAACAGCAGCAGCGACAAGCAAGACCAACAGCAAGAACCTCACCAACAGCAGCAGCGGGAAAAAATAACAGCTGGTCTTACACATGGAGGTAGGGGGAATACCTCCGCCTCTGCCTCTGTCCTCCTCTTTAAAGAGGAAGAAGGAAGAAGATAATGATGTAACATTAAAAAAAATACGAAAGTTTGGTCGAATCTTTGCCAGAAAGAAGTGTATAAAGGGACTCGAAGGCAGAGCATCACCATCTCCCACCCCAATTTATCTAAAAAAAGAAGGGCTTTCCCAAGGAGAAAGCCGTTTTAAAAATTGACTGACAGGCTATGGAAAAGGACCTATCCTCTCAGAGGAAGTTCTTATTAAGGACTCTATTCAAATTGACAGACATCAACAGTAAATAGTCAGAAGACCCCATAAACTTTCCTGGTGCCCCTGCGGCCATCATCTTAATCAGAAATTCCGACGGCAGGTTGAAGTTCTGGGACTTCATCTCTGTCACCAAAGAATCTTTTCCGAAGCTTAGGATAGCTCAGGTTGAGTTTCCTGAGCTGCACAATTTGTCAAGACATTGTTCTGGGCATTTCTCCACTCACCTTTATATAGAGCAATAAAATAAACAGAAACTACGGACGTTGGCAGTATTGCCAAGACGGACGGATTAAATCCTACACGAGATATGGGCGCCTTGGACAATCCGTGGGGGGTCGCAACCCCAGTAGATTTTCGCCCAGTTAGCGCCTTGGTGCTAAAATATGGCAGTCAAGTTGGTATATTTGAATGCGAGAGGCTTGAGAGATATGGGTAAGGATGTTCTCCTGCTTCATGACCTTTTGTTCTTCGGTGTGGATGTGTCTGCGATCCAGAAACTCAATTTGATTGCGACGTCGATGCTCGGGTGTACTCTAGCGACTTTGTTCATCATACAGGGACAGGCAGTTCCCATAGACGTTTCTTTGCTGGTTAAGCGTACCCTGGATGCGAGGGTGCACCTTGTCCGTGTCGATGCAGGGGTAAGTTGATCGTGAGTGATATTTCGGTTCGTTGGGATTTATGCGCCCAATTGCGTGTTTCATTCTTCCGTTAGTTGGAGCTGTTCCTGGTGGATTAGACGCGCCTAGTCTTAATGGGGGATTGAAATACCATTATGGACTCCAACTTCAATAGGAGTCAGAGAGCTAACTGAAGGTTGTCATCATAGCCATATCGGTCTGATGGATGATTTTGGTCTCGATGATAGATACCGGGTCGAACACCTGGCCAGAAGATGTGGACGTGGGCTCTTAAGTAGCGTTTTTTACCCGGATAACCGGCTACCTGGATAGAATGTTGGCAAGAAGAGTTAATCTAGATTTGCTAGATTGCTCCGCGCTCCACTGGTAAGGCTATTCGGACCACAAATTCATTTGTGTCCGGATGGCGATAGACTCTAGGCCGAGATTGGCTGGACATAGGAAGTTCAACGTGTCCTTACTGAACAGGGAAGAGTTCTAGCAATAGCTTACTAGATTAGTACAGCGGGAGCTAGTTGGGGTGGTTATTGGGAATAAGTGGTGGGAGAACTTTAAGGTTAGGATTAAATCTTTAGCCAACGACTGGCCTTAGATAAGGCTAACAAGCTGAAGGTACTTAAAAATATTCTGGCCCGAGCGGAGGCTGGAGTCCCTAGAGATAAGCTCATCTAGAGAGGCCCTGGAGAGAGCGGTTAACAAGCGCTACCGTGGTCCGGTAGTTAGACATAGGTTAAACAAAATTTCTGACAAAGCCGTGGACGTGGGCGCAGAATTGCGCAAGGAGGAAAGTCATCGAGGTTCCGATCGTTACATTCTGCGCTCAGCCAACGATATGTGCGAGGTGTTAGTAAGTCGTCGGAAGACTCCATGAACTTTCCTGATGCCCCTGCGGCTATCACCTTAATCAGAAATTCCGGCGGAAGGTTCAAAGTTTGGGACTTCATTTCTGTCACTAAAGAATCTTTTCCGAAATTTAGGATAGCTCAGGTTGAGTCTCCTCTCGTCGACTGAAGCCGCTGGTTGTGAGGGGGTGATTACAGAGGGCGAAGTTCATGAGGCATGGAAGACGGTCGGCACTGGCAAGTCTCCCGGACTTGATGGTCTGCTCTACGAATTGTACTTGAGGCCGTCACACATATTGGTTCTTATTTTGACTGTGGTGTTCAACAAATGGTTCTGGCTAGTGTCCATCCCTGACCGGGTCTCCAGGGATGTGATCACCTTGTTGAAAAAGGACAAGCATGTTGAACGCGATTTAGACGACCGTAGGCCCATAACACTGCTAAACACAGTTAATGATTTTGGTCAAAATCCTGACAGAGCGTTTGAACTCAGTTGCCGAAATTCTGTTGGTGCGAGGTGCTGGACAATTCAGAGTAACCTGCATTTGATCCGCACAATAGTTGATGGTGTAGAAGACGACGAAGAAACCTGATCAATTTGGATTAGTCCAAGGCGTTCGACAGGGTCGACCATCCATATTTGGCGGCTCTGCTGCAGGCCGTCGGATTTCAACCCGACTTCTGCAAGTTGATCAGCCTGTTGTCTCTCTCCCACAGTGCTGTGGTGCAGGTGAACTGAAAGCAGTCAAGCGTTTTTTCGCAGTCACGGGTTGGTTCGTCATAGTTGTCAGCTGTCTCCCCTACTTTGCGCTTTGGCGTTGGAGCCTTTCCTGTGCCAGCAGAGGGAATGGACGCGCAGTCCGCCGTGCGCGGAATCGGTGTCCATGGTGGAGATCGAGCCACGGTTTCCGCTTACGCCGATGATGAATCTATTTTCGTGTCGTGCCACAGCGACATTGAGGTGGGACAGAAGGCGCTTGACGTTACGAGAATGTTACGACGGCCAATATTAACCGTAACAAGTCTTCCGGCTTGTGGTTGAGTGCTTGGAAGGGCGTTGCTCTTCTGGGTACTTTCAGTTGAACTGACGGTCTCGTCCACATTCTTGGATTGTGGTTCGGACTGGATCTTCAGCTGGAGAAGAATTGGTCGGACGTACTGGCAAAGGTAAATGCGTCGAACTGGACTTGGCTCCGAAGTCGGTTGTCCTTTGCAGGGCTGAAGTGTGTTGCATGTATATCTTTCTCCTCATTCTTTGTAAGGACCGGGGGAAGGCTATCGAACGCTTGTCATTCTCCCTCTTTTGAAAGGGTGCAAGCCTAAGGTCCGCAGAGCAATATGCATCCAGCGTCCGTGTCATAAGGGGCTGTGAATGCAACACCACCGACACGCCTCGAGGTTGGTTTTCCTACGCCGCGTGTTGACAGAAGATTCGCTGTGGGTGAGGAGTTTTAGGGACACACTTTCAAACTTACCAACACTTCTTTCGCTTCTGGGGTTGAGCGTAATCACCGAATGTAGAAGTCCTTGCTGGCTATTCCTTGGTCCAGTGACCTTTCACGGTCTATGAGGACACTGTATCGGGAACTAGTGGAGGGGTTCGCGTCGGACACACTCTGTGAGCAGCTTGGCTTGTCGGCTACCGTGTTGCGCACTTTGTGGTCCTGGGCACCAGCAGCGGATTACCCCAGCAACTCCTAGTTTTCACTTACCTAGCGATTGATCCTGAACGCGGTATTTCGCAATGACGTGGCTTTCGGCGCGGGCTTGGCAAATATTCCCTATTGTCACCGGTGTGACTTTCGTTAAGAGGAAACTGCTGAGGCACGACTTCTTCCATCATCCGCAGGAGCGCCCATTCTGGGGTCATGTCGGAGAGTTGACGGTTCGTATCGATCCCGAACATATCGTGTCCATCGATCTCGCATACGTGTGCAATAATGTCTCGCCTCCGCGGTCTGTGGTGAAACGAGTATTTTTTACGCTGCTACCCGTAGCAAAAATCGTGGTGTAGGTGATGCGGTTGGAGGGAATCTTACGATACGAATGTTAGTCTTATCAGGATCTGATTGGATTCTTTGGGAATCAGCTCAGAATGAAGATCAGAACAGATAGAAATTGCTTTCTCTCGGCAAATTTCAATAAAAGGTGAGTAAATCGCGATCTTGGTTCGCGTGAATGGGGCCAGCCCTGATTTTCTTTTTTAGTCCCCCTATAGGCACAACGGGTCGGATTCCTGACGAACTCCTCACCTGGTTAAGCTAGACTCCTTTTATTCATCTAGTTATGTGAGTGATTGTCGTTCTTGGCCTGCTCCAGGTGTTCTCTTTTGTTATAGTCACTGTCAAGATCTCAATCCCTCATGTTTATTTTTTAACCTCTTTTATCTTTATAGTGACCCACCCCGAAATTTATTTTGTTCTTCCTTCAACTTTAGTGAGTAAACTTCTTGGTTTTTCCTCCTGGCAGAATATAGCGGTTGCTCTTACTCTTCTGTCAGGTGGACGGGTCTTACTAACATTATTTTATTTTGAATATTTTGTTATTTTTATTTTGTTTTTGGATTCATCACCCTTCATTTCATGATATATATTTTTATCTATTTTTTAAGAAAATTCGGGTTTTAAGAAGTACCACAGTTATACATATCAAACTTTTTATACCATGGTGTTTTTTTTTTTGAGTAGGTTCCTTACGAATATGGGATATTTTGGTAAATTATAGTTTGGGAGAAGAAGGGTGAGTTCTGATAGGGAATGAATCAATTGTAAGAATGAATTGGTCGTGAATCAGATAGTTTAAGCTTTACCCACTTCCTTTACGGCCTTGTGACACAAATATGTATTTCCATGTTAAATAAAACATAGTATCATAATGTGATATCTGTTCCGGCAGCTGATAGCCGACCCAGGGCTGCAGTCATCTTCATTATCATTATCAGCTGCAGCTCCAGCTCCCAGTTTTCAATGATTACAA